AGATGTTGTCAACAATTTTCCTTTTTAGCACTTGACATAATTTGATGGGTTGAATATTTTTTGTAGGATTAAATTATAAAATATAATCTATTTTCATTTAATTCTCCAAGTCCAAGTGAACACAAAAGCACTAAGGATCAAACACAAACAACGTCTGCAAGGCACACAAACAACGTCTGCAAGGCAGCCAATGGCAGCCAATAGGCACACATATTCCCCCACTGGGATGGAACAATCAATCAAGAGAAAGCCCTTGGTTAATGAAGTTGTGCAGTATTTGGGATTCCGGCTTTAAAAGGAGAAAGCCCAATCACTTGCCATAGTTTCTTAGCACTGCTCTCGCGTCTATGTTGTGTATTTTTCGTGAACTCAATGTCAGTGCTGCACAGGCTATACCCAAGAAAACCCAACCAGAAAAATGAAATACTAAGGAATAACATTTTCTCGGGTGGGGTTAAGCTTTAGAGGGGCACAAACCACTGTATCAGAATTTTTTTTTTTTTTTTTTGGTCCACAAGAACCAATTCTCACCTTGGGATAAATATCACCCCCCTCAACGCCCAACTCATAGTGCCCCCACAACATAGTCTATCTTTTGAGCTACTATCTTTTCCAAGCAAACTTTGTAACATGCTTTGAGTATTTTTATACCAGAAACTTGGTCTAGGGAAACCCCACTTCCCCAAGTCCTTAAGGATCCAAAGCCTAGCTTTTGGTAGGTCATTTAATTTCTCTGAACATCAGTTTCCCTATCTGGAAAATAAGACTAATAATGCCTACCTTGTAAGAGTTGGAAACGTTAAAGGTTATGGGTGTAAAGCGCTGAGCACAGAGCCTACATATAGCAAACAAACACAATGTCAAATACGAAGCAAGACACAGATAAAGTGAGATGGGCAGTATGCCAACAATGATCTCACTCCAGCAAACTGCCATTTCAATTCTTTCTAGTGTTCAACTTTCATCCCAATAAGTAGGTAGGTGAGTGACTTCGGATTATCTCAGATTTTATTTCAAAACAGCAGGAGTGAGAAGTGGAGGCTAGACAACTTCAGGTAGTAGAATGACGGGGCTTCCAGTACTTACAAAGGAGGTTCCCTTACAAACGCAGGGGGACGCTCACTGTTCTCAAAGTATCGTCCTCTGAGGCAACACTAGAATCCTTTGAGTCCTGAGTAGGATGTCAGAGTCCTCAGGGGCCCCGCCGACTCCAGTGCTCTCTTATAGTTTGGCACTCCCTGGAGAGGTTTCCTAGCCTGAATGGCAAGTCCGTGCCATCTTCCGACCAGGACAGAAGACAAAGGGGCTTTTCAGCCCTCGCGTCCTCCTCCCCAACCCGCAGCCCAGCGTAAGGCGCAGCCAGGCCTTCGGGAAGCTCCACGCAACCCGCAAAGGACCCGGGATCACCGCGGAACCCCCGGAGACCCGGACACGCCTCGGCAGCTCCGAGCCCGGCCTCCCAGTCGGGAGCGGCTTTGGCAGTTCCTCACCTGGGCGTCGTCCCTGCCACTCGGCCCATAGTAGCGTCAGGTCGCCGTCAGCCCGCAGGAAGCGCAGCAGCTGCACCACGAGCAGGAGCAACGCGCACAGCGCCAGCAGCCAGAGCAGCAGCTCCCAGTTCATCGCGGCCGCGCACGCCCAGCTCCGGGGGAAGAAGACAGCCCGCACCAGAGTCGCGTCGCTGCCCTGCGGGATCGCAGCGCCACCCTTTCGGCCAGCCCAGAGCGGCACCGCCCCGGCTCTGCCCAGGGAGCAGGCCGGGAGGAGGAGCCGCTCGGGCGCCCCGGGCTCAGCACTCGCGGCCGCACTCGCCTCCCTGGGGCTGCCCGCGCCCTCTTGCGCCACACCCAGCGGGGCAGGCAGATTGTTTGAATTCAGGTTTCCAAGACCAGCCTGGGCAACATTGGGAAACCCTGTCTCTACCAAAAATAAACAAATAAAATTCCAGTATTTTTTAAAAAGCTGATTCAAACATAAGCTACATATTATATACTACATTATTTCCTCTCTGTACAGGAGAACTAGCAACAGCCAGGAGACAAAGAATCATTCTTGCCTGGCCCCTCTTCTCCATTCCTATTCAGAAAGAACGTTCCCTTTTCAAGTTTCAGTATCTTTTCATGAGGTCGAGAGAGTGCTGAAGAGTGTGGCTATCACTCAAGACCCCACAAGTCAAGGCAATGGTCCCTCCATGGGGACAAGGACCTTTTACAATTAGAGAAAAAAAGACTGAAGCCATGTGCTGTGTTGGCACCTTACAACCTGATTCTGACCACACACAAACTTACTCTCAGCTAAAGTGTCTGTTTGGCAACCAAAGCCTAGCTTGGTACCAAATCCTCCCCTTACCCAAGCCATGATTCACATCCTAATATAAACAGCAAATAAAAACAGAGAACGTAATGAAAATACCAAGGTCTTGCCTACTCTAATACACAAAAGAGTAAACTACTGTTCTTGATTAATTTCCGTTTGAAATGAGCTTCAAAACATTTCATTACTTCCCACTAAATACCTACATGTGTTTAAGGCATTAACAGTAGCATCTTTCTTGTTTTCAAGCATTTGAAAGCAAGAGGGCTTTCCATTCACAAGCCTCAGAGGGACCCAGTTAGAGTGCATAGATACTAGGCCATGTATGAGAACGACCTGTGACCAAATGGAGAAAGTTCTGGACGTTGATGCAGTAGAACTTTCATCCTCTTTATGTCCTAGAATACCTTGTATGCTCTGATGTCAAAGGCTGTTCCTTGGCTGAAACTAAATATGACTTTAAAACAGTCATGGAAATAAAAGAAGCAGTGACTTCCTTCCCCAATGTTGTTTTCTTTTTCCAGTCTTGCGTGCCAAACTTTTGTTTTTCTTCAAATGTTTTGAAGAACGTTACTTGCAGTAATCGAATTTCCTTAAACAGCTCTTCCTTCTCTTTTTTTAATCCTATTATAAACCTCCCCACCCTCATCCTTCTCTAAAAAGCTTTTTGGAGTTATCTGGACTCACAGTCATCTCTACCCTAATCTCAGCTCTTTCCACAATTACTTCTGAACTATGTCTGATATTGTTTTTTAATTATTTTGGGGGTTAATATATTATTGTTGCAATAGAACTTTAGAATCCTTGAAATAGAGTAGCAAATCTGATGCTCCTTTTGAAGAGTCTGCAATACATAGCTTAGTGTTGACATGAGAAACAATAAGCCCACATTGATTGAATTCTCCTTTCCTTGAAATTTAAACCTCCTTCAGAGAGAGTAGAAGCATATTTACCAGAGGTTGAGAAGAGTAGTGAGAGGGTTGGGGGAAAGTGGAGATGGTTAATGGGTACAATTATAGTTAGAAAGAATGAATAAGACCTAGTATTTGATAGCACAATGGGGTGCCTATAGTCAATAATAATTTAGTTGTATGTTTTAAAATAACCAGAAGAGTAAAATTGGATTGCTTGTAACACAAAGGATAAATGCTTGAGGGGATGGATACCCCATTTACCATGAGTGATTATTACACATTGTATACCTGTATCAAAGTATCTCACATACTCCATAAATATATAGACCTACTATGTACCCACAAAAATTAAAAATTAAAATTCAATTTTTTAAAACCTCCTTGAAGTTCCGAAGTCAATGTTAAAATAAGAGTTGCTAGCATTAAATATGTCAGTCTTCTCTGAGTATTATTAAAATGCTTTGAATAAAGTCACAACCAAGGGGTCCCAAAGTCTTTCTATAACTGGTAACCTTCATTTTTAATTGCAGATGTAATAGAATGGTACCCTCCCTTCCCTCCTTTTAGTAATGGCCACTTTTGATGGTCTGGGCTCAGGCCCATTCATGGTAGCTAAGGCCCATTCAGGTCAGCTAAGATGAAGGCAGCTGTGCGTAAGCAATTGCCACCTTCCATAACAAAAGAATTACACAAAAATAACTTTAAAAATCCAGATCCTCCAAGATCGACAGTCCCTGGGCGGGGGAAAAGGAAAAAGTAAGTGGAAGCTGTGAGTGGAAACAGGAACCGAGGAAGTCTAGGGAGGGAATATTTTTCCTCAAGAACAAGAAGGGGTTTGTGGTTTTTGATTGAGGGTGTTTTCACATACCTTAGATGCTTTTGGAAATGTGTTGCATGAACAGTTGCCATAGTGCCAGCTAGCCAGGGTGCCATCAGAGTGCTAAAGGTCTGGGCACTATGTAAAGACATACCCAACAAAGAATTGCCCTGCCCCAAAAACTCACAGCACCCTTACTCAGAAATCCTGCAACCTGGCTGGCCACAGTGGAGAGGAGCTCTGCAATCTATTAGCTGCCTCCCACCACACGCTCCGGCTTACACCTGCCTGGCTATACCCCAGGTACAAGCATTCAGGTCATTGTCTAGTTTTCTGATATTCTTCAGGCAGACAAGGTCTTACCTAGAGTCTTATTTACAAGAAAATATAAGTTATTTTCTTATCTTTAGTAATCTCATGGGATCCCTCAATAAGAATATCTCACTCCACTATTCACCACAGGCAGTTCCCCATATCAGTGCACCGATTGTTTGTTTAGATTAGCCAATTTCCACAGTATCTTGAGACTCTTAAACATAAGCAGTTTATGGCTCTCACTCTCTCTCTCCCTTAAATGCCGTGTTTCAAACTTCCCTTTATATATCTTGGTATATGATTTAGTAGTGGTGGTGGTTATTCGAATCCAGAACTTCGAACACTCATACACACATGAGTACATGCAAAGCTGGTGAAATTTGAATGAGGTCTGTGGATTTTGCCAATACCAATCCCCTGGTTCTGTTATTGTTTTAAAATTATGTAAAATTACTAGTGGGGGGAACAGGGTACAGGGTACACATCTGTTCCATCTTGGCAACTTCCTGTGAATCTATAATCATTTTAAAGTAAAAAGTTAAAAAAATTAGGTTAAATTTCTTAAAATATGCGAATATTTTCTTAAAATTCTAAAACTGCTCAATGTTTTTCTCTCTTTCTCTTTTTTCTCCCCTCTCCAGCCAGAATCAGCCTTGGAGATAAGCAGAGCGAACAGAAATTTATGCTCTCAGATTTAAGGAAAACAAGATTCTTTCTTGCTTCTTAAATCATACTCCATCCCATCAACTTGCAAACATGCTGACACTTGTCATAATTTCACTCTTCATAAACCAAAGCGTAAGGTCAGAGGAGAACTTGACATATTAGAAGACTTAGGCATTGAAAGTGGTTAGTCTAACTAACCCCTTGAGGTTCTGGAGAACCTGGGACTCAAATTTTGGAAGATGTGACAGATGATGTGTTAAAATACATTGCACCGAGGCTGAAGTGGGAGGATCGCTTGAGACTGCCTGGAAGGCAGAGGTTGCAGTGAGCCGAGACTGATGGTGCCACTGCACTCCAGCCTAGGCAACAGAGCAAGACCCTGTCTCAAAAAAAAACAAAACAAACAAACAAACAAACAAAAACAAAAAACAAAAAAGCCATTGCACCAAGTAACAGTCAACTTTTCAGCAGAGGTGAGTAATCAGTTAAGGCTTTCTGGAATGCCAGCCCACCTCAAGGCCTTGTACATATTGTTCTCTCTACATAGAGGGATGGCCAGAAATCCCCCAGATGGATCCACGAATGCTCACCTCCTGTGTGCAAACCACCATGTATTTCCCTCCCATGTTGTATCAGGGTTGGTCACTGCAACCAGTAGAATGCTGCAGAAATGATGAGTGTGTGACTCCCAAGGATAGGTCACAGAAGATATTGCGGCTTCTACCTCTGGCTCTCTCTTGTTTATACCTTTACTAAAGTATGATTCGAGTACAAGAAACTGCACATATTTAAGGTATACAATTTGATGAGTTTGTCAAATATATACACCTGTGAAACCATCACCACACTCAAGGTAAACATTTCCGTCACCCCCAAATGGGGTGACCCTTTGAAATCCACCCCTCCTCTACCTTTTCCCCAGGCAGCCACTGGTCTATTCTCTGTCACTGTATGGAAGCACCTTACCTGTTTCCTCTGTAGGATGTAAAGTCCCATTTCTGGATCCTTTCAGGTCCCTGTCTAATGTCTATTCTCTTTGCCTTGCCCTTACTTTTGTTCAGACCAAATTTAGCCTTAGTGGGGAGTTTGATTTTGTAATTCCGAACCCTAAGCAGTCTTGGATTGCTATCTGCTGAGATGATGCATGAGAGCAGTGAGGAGCATGATCTGTTTTAACAAAGCTGTATGCTGTTCCCAGCTAAGACCAAGGCTCATCTCTTTCTAGTAGGATCTTGGCAGGAGCCACAAGAAGTAACCAACACAACAGGAGTTAACCTGTCCATATGCTTTCTAAGTGCCAGGCCTATTCTAAGTGCTTTATATATATTAAATCCCTTAATCCTCACAATAATCCAGTTAGTTAGGTACTATTTTAATTCCCATTTCCCTGATGAGGAAGCTTAATTGTGATTAAGTAACTTGCCCTAGGTCACACAGCTAGGAGATAGGGTCTTTGAACCCAGGTAGTCCAATTTCAGTCTTTGCTCTTAAACCACCATATGATACTGCCTCTCACACCAGAGCAGCCTAACTTTGTTCTGCTGGATTCCCTGAAGCTTCCACCTTAGTAGGTACAGGTCTGAATCCCAAAGAAACTACAATAACATCTTAATGAGCTGCTTCATTACCATATCATAAAGACTGCCCACTTCCCACCCAGGGATGGAGGGAGATGGAGAGAGCCTCACTGCCTCCTACCCCACCTTGACACAACAGTTCACATTTTAGGATCTTTCATTTCTAGCACTCTACTTCTGGGTACTAATGTCTTAATCAGTCGGTACTCTCAACTGCAAATGGCAGAGACCCACTCAAATTAGCTTACGAGAAATATTAAGGAATGTATTGGTGCCTCCATAGGTAAACCCCCTACCCTAAGGATGTGGCCTGCCTCTGCCCCCACCCTGAGGTCCAAGTGAAAGCCACTAACCTGAGGGCCAGGAACCCGAGCACAGCAATGAGGCCTGTTACTCGGAGACAGAAGTGCTCAAGCAAAGTCCAGGGTCATTACCCTCATTCGGTAAGAATTTTGATGTTGATTTCTAGTGTCTAGAGACCTCAATATCCAAAATAAACATTACTATATTAATTTGCTAGGGCCGCCATAACAAAGTATCACAGACTAGGTGGCTTAAACAGCAGAAATTTATTTTCTCACAGTGCTGGAGGCTAGAAGTTCAAGGTCAAGGAGCTGACAGGGCTGGTTTCCTCTAAGGTCCTCCTCCTTGACTTGAAGTAAGGAAGACCACCCCTCTCTCCTTGTGTCATACCTCAGAAAAAGAAAGAGGAAGCAAAAGTTACAGAAAGGCAAAAATAAGATCAATAGTCAGATAGCCCAGCGCAGCACCTCCATCCTGGTATTAAAAATCAACCCCTGACCTAGCTGCTTGTATCATCCATAGATTCCAGGCATTGTGTGAAGAAGCATTGCAAAATTTTCTGTTCTGTTCTGTTCTGTCCTGTTCTGTCTTGATTACCAGTGCATGCAGCCCCAGTCCTGTACCCCATGCTTGCTCAATCGATCATGACCCTCACATAGACCCCCTTAGAGTTGTAAGCCCTTAAAAGGGGCAGGAATTTCTGTCTCGGGGAGCTTGGCTTTTGAGACACAAGTCTGCGGAAGCTCCCGGCCGAATAAAGCTCCTTCCTTCTTTAACCCAATATCTAAGGAGTTTTGTCTGTGGCTCGTCCTGCTATAGCGGATGGCCGTCTTCCTCCTGTCTTCTTATAGTCTTTTGTCTGTGTGCATCTGTGTCCTAATCTCCTCTTCTTATAAGGACATCATCAATCATATTGGATCACGGCCCACTGACATGACCTTGTTTTACCTTAACCACCTCTTTAACAACCTCATCCCCAAATACAGTCTCATTCTGAGGTACTAGGAGTTAAAACTTCAACATATTAATTTCAGGGGAACACCATTCAGACCATCACAATAAACAAAAAATAAAGCTGAATTTATTGCTTGGTTATATAAGGGAGAGCTATGCTGACCAGGCCCAGTCTCTCTAAGCAGATCAGGGAACTGATCTTAATACGGTTCTGCAGAAGCATGGAGTTTGGTGACTGGCAGAGTAGGTCAGTGTCAGCTGAAGAACTGTAGTTACTTGAGTGAGACTTTAGTAGATTCATTGGCACTCAGTGGTATGTTCATTGAAGCAGTCCATTCCCAGCTGGTTTGCTTTCACAAGCAAGGGGTTGTCGCTGCTGGGATGGCTTCCAGAAGCATGCTTGCAGAGGTGAGTTGTTGACTGATTAAGTAGATTTAAAATCATTTCTGGTGGTTGATCTTGTATACTGGCTGTAAATCTTTCCTAGGAGTGTGGGAACTTTTAAAAGTTTTCACTAGTGTCAAAAATAATACTTAAGTTGGGCATGGTGGCTCACACCTCTAATCCCAGCACTTTGGGAGGCAGACATGGGAGGATCACTTGAGCTCATAAATTTGAGACCAGCCTGGACAACATGGCAAGATCTCATCTCTATTAAAAATCAAAAAAATTAGCCAGGCATGGTAGCACACATGTGTAGTCCCAGCTACTCTGGAGGCTGAGGCAGGAGGATCACAGGAGCCCAGGAGGTTAAGGCTGTGGTGAGCTATGATTGTGCCACTGCACTCTAGCCTGGGAAACAGAGCAAGAGCCTGTCTCAAAAAATAATACTTCAGAAAGAGTTAGTTATTCTCACTCAAGTAACTACAGTTCTTCAGCTTACTTATATATATGAAAGAGAAGATTCAAGTAAAAAAAAAGCAAAGCATTATTTAAAAGGGTAAAGAGAGAGATGAAAGTATAAGCAGCCAGGAAACAATACATCTTGTTCACACAATCTGTGGATAAACTCATTACCTGGCATGTAGCAAAGAGGATGTCCTGGATAGTTGTCCTTGGGCAGATGGATTGAGGGAATAAAAAAAAAATTGTTTTTTTTTAATGGAGTTTTGCTGGAAAGCACACATGACAGGCTGTGCCCGCTGTATAATGTCTCCCCCTGTGTCTCCAGGAAACACTCCCTTAGCTAGGCCAGGTCTGCACCCTTTCCCTCATCAGCATCCCTCACCAATCACAGGGTTCCCAGGAAACAGAGTGGACTGCCTGGTAAGAGAGTTGTGTTGTCAGAGAACTTCGGGCCTACATGGCACAGTTGCTGAGGCAGTTCTCATATCCCTCACTGGCTCCAATAACAGTGCAGGGAAGGGAAGACAAATCCTTACCTTTGTTCCTTCTGGTGTACAGAGCTTACCATAACCAGATTGGCAATTTGCTGTCAAGGAGTGAGGCCTTCCTGTCTCTGCAGCGCAAGACATGACTATGCCATGGATCAGTGAGAGGTCTCATTGTAGTTGTCTTTCCCTCTAACATTGGATATTGTGTGTGTTGGAGGTTCTTACAGGTATTATTTAATATATTTAAATATGTTTGGACCACATCTGCATCAAAGGTATGTACATCAACAAGAGGTACCAGACTTGAAGGTGAATGCCAGTGACTTCAGGTTGTCTTTCTTTGGGAAGCAATGCATGGACTATATACAGAAGAGTTGCATTTGTCAGTAAGGGGCACTTTAAAAAATGCAAGGGAAGAAGTAAGTGTGTAAGCACTAGTCAGCCAGTGGCTGCATATGTCACCCACACCTGGCCAAAGAATGCTCATCCCCCTAGTCTAACCGATGAGTTCTGGGATGGACACATGAGCCCAGCCAACCATTCAGCATCCCTCCAAGGACTCACTGGCTAGTGCTGTTGGAGAAGATTTTTCTGTTGCTTTGGGATAATGTGACCAAACTCACTGACCAGGTGGAAGAGGCACATTTGAACTATGAAAGAATGAGAACAACATGCAAAGAAAAGCAGAAACAGACATGAAAGATGAATGAGGAGAGCTTGGTCACTGTTAAATCCCTAGTTTTTGAGGCTTCTCCCCTAGTTTTATGACCCATTCTGTATTCTCCCAATTGATATTTGTGTCAATAAATTCTTTCCTTTTTTTTTTTAACTCAACTGATTTTTTTTTTCAACTAGTTTGAATTCAATTTCTATTACTTGCAACCAAGAGTCCTACATGATATAGTGCTTTTTACTTTTATAAAGATCATCATAATTATGGCTTTATTACAATTTTGACCTTAATTATAATTGCAATTTTACTCATGTTATTTTCTCTCCTTCATCATAAATTTTTTCCTCTATAAATTTGCATCAGTATAAAACATGCACAATATGTTCCATCTTAAAGAAAAAACATTTCTTTGATCCCCCACATTCTCCTCCAGTTATTGTTTCATTTTTCTCTGTGCCCCTTTAAATTGAAATTCAAGAGTTTTCTATGTGCACTGTTTCCAATTCATCATCTTCATTCTCTCTTCAACTTACACCTGTCAGGCTTTTGTCCCCACTATTCCACTGAAACCACTCTTCTTATTGTCACCAGTGATCCCCATCTTGATATATTAAATGATCAGTGGTCAGTCTTCATCTTACTCAGCCTCTCAACAGCATTCGACACAGTTGGTCATTTCCTTTTTCCATTTTCCGTTTTCCATTTTTCAAACCCCTTTTTTTTACTTCATTTCCAGTGATGTCCCTCTTACTGATATAGAGGTTAAAAAGAAATTATTTAGGCAGATAGGGTAAGGAAGTCCTCGGTAAGGTTTTCCTTTTAATGAAAAGCAGCCACCAAATCATTTTCTTTTCTAACAAAGAGAAGCCTGTAAAATCGAGTTGCAGATATAGACAAGCAAGCTGGAAGCCTGCATGGGTGAATGCCAGCAGTTCTGTCAATAAGAAAAGGCGACTTGGGACTAGGTATGATCAAAATGACGGCTCCATCTTCCCTTCTCTTTGCCAAACCACGTGTACAGTAAGGAGGAGAAAACATGGCACCAGCCAGGTGAAGACCCCATTTGCATAGTAAGATTAGGGTGGAATAGCCAGCTTCCCCATGTGTTATGTAAATGTCACATCTGGTCCAACCAATCTGTGGGCCCTATGTAAATCAGACACTGCCTCCTCAAGCCTGTCTATAAAATCTGGTGCACTGAGCTATGGGCTGGAAGTCTGATTCAGGTGTCCCTCTCTCTTGCAAGAGGCAGAGCTGTTCTTTCTCTTTCTTTTGCCTGTTAAACCTCAGCTCCTAAACCCACTTCTTGTGTCGGTGTCCTTGATTTCCTTGGCGTGAGACAATGCACCCCAGGTGTGTACCCCAGACAGCAATGCTACTTCATTAGCTCATAGGTGCTGGTTCCTTCTTAGTCTGCATTGTTGGGTTCTCCTTTTCCTTTTCCTGGCCTTTGAATTTGGAGTACCCCAGGACAGTCTTTGACCTTCTCTTTCTCCTCTATCTATTCATATATGCTGGCATTCTCTGTACTCTCCTGAGTCCCAAAAGTGTGTTTCTGGCACTGACCTCTCCCCTCAGGTCCAAACTCACATCCTTACTAGTTGCCTTATCCTCATCTAATCTTAAAATATCTAAAACAGAACTCATGATTCCTACCTCCAAACTGTTTCTACCTGCAGTGTTCTCCCATCTCAGTAGATGATACTCTATTTGTGCAGCCCCAAACCTCAGAATCATCCCTAATAAGATGTTGAGTGGAAATTTTCTTGTGGCCTCAGAATTGGCCACTAGAATCCAGCTCTGAGAAAAAAGATACATCTTGCACAATCCATATTCTAAAAACAGCCAGACACCTCCTCAGACTTATTCATAGGAAAAGAACCTGTCATGCCACTCCTAAACATGGCCCCAGTGATTCCCTCTCCCATTTTTAACCTGTCCCAGAAGGAAATGTCAGAAAGAGTCATGGGAAATGAGGCAGTGAGTCAACAGCCTCAAAGAAGGGCCGTGGCTTTTTCCTCCTTCCTCATGCAAAGGAGGGAAGCTCACAGGAATTGGGATACCCGAGAGAACGGAGACTGTTGAGAAAGGAGACTGATATTAGCTCTTGCTCAGGCAACAGACTTCAACAGGGAAAAGAGAAGGGAGAAGTGAGATGGCAGAGCAGAGAGAGGGACCACAGTGGGGCTGCCTGTAAGACCATTACTGGGTGTGGCAAGGACTCTAGAACTCCCTGAGACCAAAGTGATGGGAGGTAACAAGACTTATGTCACCACATCAGGGGACTGGCAGCATGACAAAGGGAACCAGACAGTAAGACCATGGGGATGGAGCTGAGAGATTAGAAGAGGTTGGATTAGAAGAGGTCCGATCTCCCCTGGCAGAAAACTAGGCAGAGGGAGGTCTCATTGGAATCATTCTGACAGCCTCCATATGACCACTCAAAAGACCAAAGAACTTGGATGTCCGCTGCCCAGAAGGCATCAACAAAGTGGAGAGGTTTGCAATTAATCGCACAACCACTTAAATAAAAGTGAAGGCCGGGCGCGGCAGCTCACGCTTGCAATCTCAGCACTTTGGGAAGCCAAGCTGGGAGGATTGCTTGAGCCTAGGAGTTTGAGACCAGCCTGGGCAACATGGCAAGTCCCCATCTGTACAAAAAAATTTAAAACTTAGCCCAGCAAGGTGGTGTGTGCCTGTAGTCCCAGACACTGGAGAGGCATGAGGATGGCTTCAGCCCAGGAGATTGAGGCTGCAGTGAGTTATGATCATACCACTGTATTCTAGCCTGGGCGACAAAGTGAGACTTCATCTGAAAAAGGAAAAAAAAAGTGACTTGTCCCTTTTCATCTCCCCTCTCACATTCCAAAATTGGCCTGCATGGGTAGCAATGGGAGATGGGGAGTGAGCATGTGTGGGTAGCGGGTAGAGAAGAGATGAACATGAAATTAAAATTGAGATAAAGTTTTACATTGAAATAGGTTAGATCAGGCATTATAATGCTTGCACATGATCAGATAACTGTGCCACCTATCAGAAATACTGTAAAGGGACAAGAAAGGAAGATTTAATAGTAACTAGAATAAAACTGTTTCAAATGTATACCCCTGTGGGATTGAAATGGTCAAATAAGCCAGTTACTATTTCTAGCTCTAAATAGGCTTCTCTTCTAATTGACTACATCTCAAATCCTGCTATTATCCTGGTCCAAGCTAACATCACCTCTTCACTTAATCACTGCGATGGCCTCCTCACTGGACCCATGACTGTCACTCTCCACTCCTCCTCCCCCATGTCTATTTTCTACTCAATGGCTAGAGTTCTCTTTTAAAAGCCTAAGTCAGTTACCTACTCAAAATATTTGGAATGAAACCTAAACTTTCACCGGACATGGTGGCCCACACCTGTAATCCCAACACTTTGGGAGGTTAAGGTGGGAGTATCACTTGAACCCACGAGTTAGAGACCAGCCTGGGCAACATGGTGAGACACTGTCTCTACAAAACAGTAAAAAATTAGGCAGATGTGATGGCATGCAACTGTAGTCCCAGCTACTCAGAAGGCTGAGGCAGGAGGATCACTT